GATACCTTGAATAATTCTTTCGGATAAAAAGATACCTTGGTCCTGTAATATCTTTTTGTCCTGTTCACTCAACTTTTTCTTTTTTTCACATTTTGCAATTAACGCTTCAAGTTCTTCAATTTTTTCCACTGTACCATTAGATAGTTGTTCCACAATTTTACTAATCTTTGTCATTAATCCATATTCTTCTGGATTACCCGAAGCTGTTTCTTTCAAAACGGATTCCTAATAACTAGACTTAGTTGTCTAATAATATTTATAATTCTATATTTCAACTTACATCCACTGTTTCTCCATTTAAAATAATAATTGAGTCTTTACAAACACCTACACTTGTTAATGTAGCGGTATCGTCCTTCATATTAGCTACATGACTAAATTAGTATAAAGAGAAAGAGAGAGAGAAAGCGTCATCATCTACTTACCACCAGAGACTTGAAGTTTCATTAAAGCTATAGGTACTTCTGTTATTGCTTTACACTTTTCTTTCAAGTCTTTAACTGTAGCTTCTTCAAACCCTTTAGGAAATTCTTTAAAGTTTAATTGTGTCTTCTTTTCATTCCAAGAAAGTGTCACGGTTGTCCTTAATTCTCTTTTAGAAACTTTATGGTATCCAAAGAAAGATTTTAAACAAGCTGTGAATACTTTCCAAAAGAGAAAGACAAGATATAATGTACTGTAGATAGCAGGAATTTTGAAAGTTTGAAAATGGGGGTGAAGAGGAAAAGAAAGAGTTCTCTTCTACCGTTTAAATAAAGAGTTACACCTTGTTGAGGGAAATGAAACTTTAAAAAGCAGTACAATCGATTTTATCCACACACAACAAAAATACCCATTTAGAATTATATCACTTTTATAGTTGTCAATTTATGTTCTTAGATGATATTGAATCATAGGGTTCATTCATTGAGATAGAATGACAAGTAAAAGAAAAAGGATCGTAACAACCAAGTTTTTTTTTTTTTTACTTGACCAAGATAAATAGAACCCATGGAAGGATACCAAACATTTAACATTCGTTGCGGACTTCAGCGAAAGAAAAATAATGATTTTTCATTGATATATTGCCCAGATATAGTCATTGAAAGTACAGTTATTAATCATTTATAACATTTGAAAAAGAAAGAATAAATTGATAATGACTATTTAGGGACCATACAAATTTTTATTACTGTTTAAAGGGTAGTGGTACAAACAAAGAGGCCCTGAAAAATATACGATATATCGTCATTTTATCACTAAATTCCCCATTTGCTAACACGAATTCCACTTATGATACCACCGAACACAAGAATTACAGCTACCCAATGAAGCCACATAAGATGAGGGCTGTAGAGAAATATTTGCATGTAATGAGCTCGTACACCTAATTGAGCGGTAATCCAGACCAATATTAACAAAATGTATCCAAATATACGGTGAAATTTATAAAAACTTTTTGCCTTTTCAACTGAGCCAAATATACGAGGTACAAATGCAATTGCTACACCAAATACTAGTTGAATGAAAAGATAAACAAAGACAAATAGTCCCATTTTTCCATGAAAACTAATTTAAATATTTAATATATATCTCTTTAAAAGATAAATATTTTTTACCTCTCAAAATGTGGTTTTCCTTGAAGAATCTTATTATAAAAAATGACGGAAAATCCAGTAATAACAGAAAGATAACTGGTGATTTGAATCATGGCATGATGCTTTAATCCTGTCCTTTTCTCTTCTGGTGTACTCGTTGGTTGTAATAAATTGACACCTTCAGTCACAAGAATTAGAAATAATGTCATAAAGATAGGATGGAAAACAAATATACTGAATGGTTGTCGAACAAGGACTGAACCCACAAGTCCTGCAAATAAAGCAAGTCCAGCAGCAATGCTTAGTTTTGATAATTTATCCTTCTTGAGAATTCCTGTCCTTGTATTTGTGTCGGAAAGGAGTGGTGCTTCTTCATTTAGTACCGGCATTTTTTCTATAAAAAAAATTGTCAAACTTATATAATGTAAGGAAGAGATAAGAAAGAAGGATTAATGGAGATTGGATTGTGAGGCTTTTTATACTTTGAGTGGGAAAATTGGAGTTTTAAAAAAAAACAAGTATGTATGATTCGTGAGTTAGTACGAGTAATAATAACATATTTAACGACCATCTGCATCATTCATTTATTCATTTTTCAAATATCTAATCCACTCATATTCACTTTTGAAATATGATACATTTATTATCGATGATAAACTTATTACGTTTTTTTTTTATAAGCAAAAACCCATTTCTAAACTGTATCGTCTGATCATCGATCTCGATAATAACGATTGCAGAAAATGAGGTTTAATAAGGATGTTTACAACGCCTTTTTTTTTTTTTTTGTTATGTAAGATTGTACATATTCATTTAGATCTCGGTATACTTTAAACCGTGTGTCACGTATATCAGAAAATGGTAAATGTATGAAATAAAAACTTTGGTGTTTTACAAAAACGGTAGTCCCTATGTTTATATATACGTCTGTCGTGGTCATCTCAAGTAAAAAAAAGGGTCATTTGATACTGACATTACATAATCCTTAAAATACTTACTGACGTCTTCAAAGTTGCCATTTCAGGGAAAACAAATAATCGGACTTTCTTTTTTTTTTGCTGCAAAGCTTTGATTTGTAATCCAAATAAAAAAAGAAAATATTAATTTTGAATAAAAACTTGTTATGAGAAACTAGAAAGTGTTGCATTAAAAAAAGCTAAAATTGAAAAAAGTTTTTTTAGTTTTTGTAAGGCCGAAATAAAAGTGTAGTAGTAAAAAGTAAAAAAATGAGAGAGAGAGAAAGAGAGAGGTGGTGTGACTGTGCATCTTGTCTGACAAATTACCCATCTCCAAAAAAAAATATAAATTACAAACTTTCCGTTTTTTTTTAAACAAACTTTTTCCTTATTTTTATAATTTCTATCAAACAATATGCCATCACAAGATTATCCTATGCAGATTTCTGTGCCTGAATTCAAACAATTAGTTCTTTATACCGGTAATGTTATGCGTACCAGTATCACTCCCGGTAAACACTGGAATAAAAAATCGAACGCAGAGGTAATTCTTATTGTACATACATTTTAATGACGGAATAATGACAATAAATTCATCATGATAGTTGGTACAAGCCATTTCAGATACTATTGATACATCTTTATATGGTTCAGATAAACCATCATTTCGTTACTATACAGAAAATGGTTTATTAGAAGTACCTGATTTAAGATCAAGTAGTCGTATTCATCCTGATGATCGTAAAGATGTTGAAGTCACTGGTAAAGTTAAGAAAATAAAAAAATAAAATGTATGATTTGATAATAATTTTGTTTATAGCCAAGTTATTTTATTTGGATCGTTGTGATGAATATCAAGTGTCTTATATTGATAAAGCTATTCACCACCTTCAACAATTATTAAACGTAGAGTCTATTGATACATTTATTGTCTCATTTAATACAAACGAAAGTACGGTATGTGTTGACAAGGCATGGAATGATTTAGAAGGTTATCATGAAAAGGGTGTGATTCGTAAATTAGGTGTATCCGATTTTGACCTCGCTACTTTAACAAAATTTTTGAACAAAAAAGATCTTAAAGTAAAGCCTTCAATCAATCAAGTTCATTTTGACCAATGTTGCGCTTTACCCAAGGATCTGGTTGAGCTCGGTAAAACACATGGAGTTGAAATGACTTTTAATGGAGATACAACAGGTACGGAGAATCAATTAAAACAAAAAAAAAATAATATTAACCTTTTTTTTTTTAGAAATCTTGACTGCAGAAACATTATCTTTCTTATTAAACAATCATGGTCTTGTTAAAGATAACACAACTGTTGAACCTCGTTGGGTATTAAAATATAATGTATTCTTCAAGTGTAGAAGTGTAGTTTCTGATAAAGGGTAAGTCCGCGCGTGTTAAATCATTAAATACTCGGTGTTTTCTAATCTCTCTCTTTTTTTTTTAAAAAAAAAACAGTTATATTGTTGTTGGTGATTCCCCCCTTTCTTTCTCTCTCTAAATAGACATATAAATCTGTATAATTCATTCTAATAAAAGAATATACAGTTATTTTTTATTACCAAGGCATATATATTTTACATATATATATGTCATTCTCGACTCCTCATAATTTTACAATGGTTTTTTTTTAATTTATTCATTTATCTATATACCGAATTATAAAAAATGATCAACTGAAGGTAAGTCTTTTTTATTATATTATATAGTATAGTTTTATTTTTATCTTTAAATAAATAAATGTTTGTTACACTATAATTACACTGAAAAAGGGTTCGATCTATTTGTTTTTTAATCCGTGCCGAGATCATTATATGTTTTTTCTTTAACAACTGGCCTCCGACATTTTCAAAACAATCATTCTACTGACCGTTATGTACAAAAGAGACTTTTTGCATAATTTTAAAAAAAGAAATCAGTTTTGTATAGGATTTTTTAAATCTAGATATTATTCTCATCTTTATTATTTTAAGATCATAAGTCAGCTTGTATATGTAAGTATATATATATTTTTTTACAATCACACCATTATTACTTTTAATCGCGTTATTGTTGCATAGCAACTGATGATGATCCACGTTTTAATATATTCATGCATCTAACTTTCAAGATCTAAAAAAAAAAAAGTTTGTTTAAAATAACCCTTTAATGCATTTGCTATCTTTATTCAACATGATCAACCCATTTATTATTACCTGTGTAGAAGATTTAGTGGAAAGCATAGGTTAGAGGTCATGCGTTCAGATAGAACATGGTATAGGGTATTGTGATTGAGGAGGAGACATCTATATTAGTGTAGTTTCTCAAATACTGTTGTCGCCGGAAAGAACCATAAATGGTTGTCAGCCAAGATTGAAACGTTATTTACGTTTAGAAAAAGCAAAGAAGAGGAACCTATAATAGATAATTATAACAAAAGAGAAACCGTGGGTCACACAAAGGGAAGAGTTTCATTAAAAATGATACAAGTGAGGTTCGAACTCACGCCCCCGAAGAGATTAGATCCTAAGTCTAACGCATTAGACCACTCTGCCATTGTACCGTGCTATTTGGTGCCGGTCATTTTTTTAAATACTTATCCTGTATTTTTATCAAAATTGCACGTGATATTCACGTGACATAGAAGCTTTTTTTTTTATGCGTAATAGGTTTGATAATTGCTTCTGTTTTTTTTTTTTTTTTGCTAATTCATCTTCTTTCTTTTGAGCGAGTTTATATTATATACCATCATCTAAAACATCTTTCATCGTGGATTACTACTATATCAAACATTATAACCTTATAAAAAAAATAATACTGGGAATTTCATGCAATAGAAAACAACACAACATTATATATTTGAGTTTTTACGCAACAACCTACATCATAATAGAGAGTGCAGATGCTTAACTCAGCTCATATACGTTTGCAAAATACAAAGCAATTTTACAAAAAAAAAAAGAAGGAGGAACAATAGGAAATATGTTACACGAACGCTGTAAAATAGATCTTCAAATTGTTGCACGAACTACTACTACAGGTCTCCCATCAGTGGATACTTGTTAATAATTCCTTTTACCGCGGGGAAATATACTAATTAACTTTAGTTTAATATATATTTTGCTCTTCCATGCTGCGCTGTAAGTAGGTGGTGCAGATACAATGCTCACCAATATTCGTCTGTTCCGTATTTTCTGAGCAGATCCTATCTATTACATTTATCCAACTTTTTATCTCATCTCATATGCTATACAGATTCTGAACATAAAAAAAAGTGCTTATGCTGAAGGGTTTGAAAGCTTGAAAGTAATGAAGCGAAAGTAAAGAAAAAAAAATCAGTAGTCAAAGAAGCTTGCTTTTTAACCCTTCGGTAAGTTTTACGAGATGGGAAAAATAGTTTTCGAGTTGACAATTATACCTGCTACTGTATATCATCAATTACACCATTTACTTTCAACATATAAAGTATAAAGAATAAGGAATTGAAGAAGGCAGAAAGACTCAAGTGAATCTAAGGATTAAAGTGAAGCAATAGTTTTCCTATTAGCTTTATGAGCTAAAACTCTGACAGCAAAAAAGTATAATTTAGTAGTGGGCTGGAATTAAAAAATGACAACTAATGCCCTGTCAAAAGATCCCGCCAGACAAGTATAACTAAATATTTTTGGGTCGCCTAATTTTGAGATCTTCCTCAATACATCCAAAATGGTAATGTGAAGAAAGAACTCGATGCAACCCCTACGACTCTCGAAACGATAAATAAGATGAATGAATGGATGGATGGATGGATGGAATAAAAAATAGAGAGAAAGAGAGAGAGAGCGTTGGGGATGCATGACAGAAAAAAAAAAAAATATACAATAAAAAAAAAAAATCGAAATGCTAAATTCACTTCAATGTAGGCTAAGAAAGACGTTGTTGGTAAGCCTACCTCTTCCTCCGGTGGAAAGAAAGCTAAAAAGAAGTGGGGTGCCAAGAAGCTTAAGGATAAGGCTAACAACATTGTTATCCTTGATAAGCCTACTTACGATCGTTTGTTCAAGGAAGTTCCTACCTACAAGCTCATCTCTCAATCCGTCCTTGTCGATCGTCTTAAGTTGAACGGTTCTTTAGCTCGTGTTGCTATTCGTGAACTTGAAGCTCAAGGTTTGATTAGAGCTATCTCTCGTCACCACTCTCAAGTTATCTACAGTAAGTTTTTTTTTTTTTTAAAAAAAACATGTATTTTGTAATGTTTATTCTAATATGCCTTTTTTTATTATTTTTAGCTCGTGCTACTGCTGAGGAAGCTAAATAGATTATAGAAATCGATAACTTTAAACAAATAAAAATCAAAAAGTTTCATGTGTAAATAATCAGGGGACAAAAAAAAAATGAAACAGTAAAGTGTTGAGATAAAGATTTTATTATTATTATTATTATTCAGTTACAGTTGGTTACATACGACACGCGCATACATTTGGATCGAGAGAGCATACACATTAAATATCAAAAAAATACAAAAATTTATTACTATGACTACTACTATTTATCAGGCGTAACAGGTTGCCCCTTTTTAACCACTTCCATCTCTTGAAGAACACGAAGCCACTCCACACCTGCTTCCTTTCGCATAGCCTCAATTTTTCTTCTAAACGCATCCGAAGCTCTTCTTGTGGTATCGCTTGTTGATTCAGTAGGCCCTTCATCTTCATGCGCAGCTTTTTTACTACGTCTTGAACGTACAGAAGCAGCACGTCTTGCCATCACTTGCTCTTGTTGAACTGCGTCTTCTAATTCAGCTAATCGATGCACGTATTTACTTGATTTATCTTCGTCATCGGATAAGATGGGAGCCTCATTTTTGTTCTCTACGCGTCCTAAACGAATATTACGTTTATTTCCTTTTGTTTTAGCTCTTGCTAGTTTTGTAGTGGCTTTTGGAATATGGTTGCTTTCATTAGAGGCGGAGGCAGGTTGATCTTGATGAACTGCGCTTGGCCATTTAGATGGATTTGATGGCCCTTCTACTATTGCAGAAGGCGTTGCGATGTGAGGTTCGTGTGTGTTGTGATGAATTCGACGACGTTCTGAAAATGTAGGTTTTGTACCGTCTAATTCGATTTCGTGATCCGTCTTTTGAAACAAATTAAATATATCTACTCTATAATCCGTCTATATATATGTATAGAGAAACACGTAAAAATTAGTTCGCCATTTTTTTTTTAAAGAAAAATATACTTTGTACCTGTATTTGCGTAAATGGGTTTCCTTCTACCCAGATATCTTTTATATTTGGTAAATCAGTTAATCGTCCAATTTCAGCAGCATCTTCAATCCTATTATCTCGTACATCCAATCTCTCTAAAGCGTATAATCTATCTAATCCAGCCAAGAGAGTTAACCTATTTCCTCTCAAATCCAATTCTTGTATATTTCCAAGGACAGTATTGATACCAGTTGTAAAAGAGATCATATTATGAGACAAGTTGAGACTATAGAGATTATAAAGGGTAGCTAAAGCGGCCGGTATATCAATAAGTAAATTAGAAGACAAGTTAAGATGAGTAACAGAACGTATAAGATGAGTAGGATCTTGATCTAAGGTAGTTAAACTATTATCGACCAATGAAAGCATCTTTAGTCCAGACCATTCGATATCATTACCAATGACATCAACTGCATTATCTACTTGACCGTGTTTGACTACCAAACTCACTAAAGAAGATTTAAGATCTGACCAATTTGAAATTAAAGTGGGAGGTATATGAACAAGCTCTAAAAATGAAAGGGATTTAAAGGCTTGTAATGGTAGTGGGATTGTCACAGGAGACTCATAGCCTTTGATCGTGGTCTTTGTGACACCATTCATGTGTAATTTGAGAGCCGATATCTTGCTAAAGTAACGGTGAATGTATACAATGTCTTCATGAAGTGGACGCTGATTTTGCTTACGGTTACTATCTTTTTGCCAACTGGTCCATCCTGTCGATAAGGAAAGTGTAGACATCATAGAACCAACTGAAGAAACAATAGAAGGCGCTTGACCTGCTGAGCTAGTGGTCTCTGTTTCTACTAAACCGTTCTGAGGAACTGGAAGATGAGTCTCTTCAAGACCCAAGTATTCAAACTGAACCAATAAAAAGTACAAATATTGAAAGTCTAAGGTGAGACTAGAACGTGGTGGCATATAAGGTGTGTTGGAAAGACAAGTCGCATGTGGTGCTGTGGCAGATAATAATGACATGTATGGAATTTGGTAACCGTATAAAGAAGTAGGTCTTGGGTCTAATGCTGTTGTATGTGCTGTTGTTGCTGCTGGACGTGAAGGTGTGGACCATAATGAGGAAACGGCTTTAAATATACCGGTTGGTTGTTGTTGTTGTTGTTGTTGCTGTTCTTTTACATCTTCTTCTATTATGGTTGGAGATGAATATAAAAGTCTGTTTTGATTAGCTTCCAAGTAATGTCTTAATGTTCTAATAAACTGTTCTCCTGTCGTAGGAGCTACCATCTTTTTGAATTAGATTGTATTAAAAATAAAATAAAGGGGGTGGAGAGAGGAAGAAGGAAATAAGAAATGTTTAAAAATTGTGTTTCTATACTGATATGGTCCCGGAACTTAAATCGAGTGTTTGTATACTCGAAAAGACTAAAAAGGTTTTAGTGTTATAGACGTATATAACATCATCATTGAATAAGCCAAAAAAAAAAAAAAAAAGAGGTATTTGCTGCTCTTCTATATATTTATTATTATGAATGAACGTTGTTACGATAACTCTATATATACATTATAAATAATTCCCAAATCAACCATCGACTTTAATATAAAAAATCATTGATCATTTTTTCGCTTTTTTTATCGGCTCGGTTTTTGTCGTGTTTTAGCTTCGGTTTAGGCGTTTATCCTGTTGCTTTTATCCTATATTCGTATTATATTGTAACTGTTTGTGTTTTCGTGCTTCTTTGATACACACTCTCTTTTTAGGTTTATTATTCTCCCTTTTTTTTGTCTTATATACTACATAGCCAGCACGTAAAAATGATTTAATGGTACAGGTAAACAACTTTGTTTTCTTGCATGAATAAATTAGTTATATCACACCCCAAATAAAAAAAGGGGGAATTTTGGACGGACTCTATTATTTCGCGTTTTAATTTAAAGAGTTGTAATGATGTTCATTTAACCTTTTTATTGTGTTTCTTGAATAATTGCGTGATTTATATGTAAACATGCATACAAAATATGAAATTTAAATAACGGATGTGTGTTTGATGCAGTATATGTATGCTTTTCTGTTCAAATGACTATAAACGTGTATAAAGAAATATAATATTATGTAATCTAAAAAAAAAAAAACTATGTAGTTTTAAACTGTAATAATTAGAGCTATATTTTCTGTAGACTTTTGCAAGTAGCAGCAATGATGCAAAGTAAAATACATGATTGACTAACAAACCGCTTTATATGATCATGATTCAGATGGCGCTGATACACAAAGATATTCTTGCTACTGTGTTTCCAACAATAACATACATGTGATATTTATGTTATACAGTAGCAATGAAGCGTTTCTATATTTT